CGAATTTAATGGAATTAAAGCGCGACGTATAGACTAGGCCTAAGAATCCCCTAATACATATTTTTCTTTGTTCTCATCATTTGTCTGCTTGATGATGCATTGATATTGTAAGGAAGAATTCTGTCTTGGTTACTGACTCATGGGAGTTAAATTAAAGGGTTAAGGATTTCACTCACCCGGACGATCAGACTTCATGACCAAATGCATGGAAAAGTGTAAGCGAACAGTGCGCTGGCCCTCACTATTACTGACGCAATTTGATTTGTGAAGCTTTCCAGTTAACAATGATTCATTGCGCGCAAAGCTTAAAACCAAGAGGGATTTCAAAAGTCGAACTCCGTAACTTTAGTCTACCCGATAATCTTAGGTATTCTTATAACCTGTTTGCAGGACAATGTTTAGATGTTAAAGAGGGGAAGTTACGTGTTACACACTTCTGGGAGTAAAAGTTTGAGAAACCAAAGTAAAGACCACAGTGCCACGATTACATGTTTATCGATTACTCCGGCTTGTTTGTGTACCTTTTCTCCAGGTTTAATATCGCAGCTGATCTGTTTTAGTACAAGAGGTAATCCCTCTCTGTATCTCAAGTCAAACTGTTCCATTACAATCCGTCCAGTGAATGGCCAGTCGTCTGGCGGTCGATTTTCGGGGATGATCCATCTAGCCTAAGTTTTAAAAAAAATTGACTGAAAGTGATTGACTAAAGAAAATGATGATGTTAACTCTCTTGCAACCTATTCATTAAATATTTATGTTATAGTTTAAAATAAGACTCAACGACCTCTAACCAGGTTAATTTTTTCTTTCAGTCTTAGAAGAATAAGGAAAATTTAACTACAAATCAAACTAGTTTAAAATCATTTTGAGTTCAACTCACGAGAAACCTTCAACTATTACGCAGTACAAATCTCGAACTCAGAATCTAAAAAATTTTAATGAACATTTCTGTCATTATCGTTATTTACCTCTGTATCTGTTTCTGAATATTCTTTCACTCTTTCAACGGAAACAAGTTGAGTTTCCAGTTCACTTGTCATGCGCACTGCCCAGTTGAGAGTTTCCGTAATCTAATGAAGATACGAGAGAAGTAAATGAATCTGATAAATTCCTCAGTTCTTGTAACAAATGTGTCGTTCAGGCTTCCAAGTGGTGTTATCGGGGGGGCAAGTGAAACAACACGTTTACTCTTACACTGCTTTCAGCTTGTGTTATATTGTAGTGTCGGTATGTACGTCAAACTCAGTTTCCATTTTTCTTTAACACAACAGTGTTACGATAACGTTCAGTTAGGTATTTCTCGTCGCTAACAGAAAGACTGAGCACCAGGAACGCTCTGTCGAGGAACCTCGTTCTCGCCAGTGCTCCGGCCATGTTGACGTTCAATACAACGCAAGAATATTATTGCACAGTAATGGTTTGTGTCCTCACCTCTAACGAATACGTTAACGACATTCCGACCAACCCACTCATGATTTTGTCTCTGCTCAACACAGCAAATAATCCAGCAAAGAGTATTAAGCAGTTACCGAGAAATTCAAGTCGAACTGCAAGCCACCTGTGGAGACAATACACAGCATTAAGGATCCCCATTCTAAATGAAACCCCCCTATCAAGTGGACCCAAGTCCTGTCCCTAAATTTGTGTTCCCACTTTCGTTGTGGCAAAAAGTCAGCACGGACGCGGAAATTATGGACCTTAAGTGCCCTAAAACAAGGATGAAACACAAATTCTAAAACGTTCAACAAAACTAAACGAAACACATGACCTACTCTGTTTCCAATAAACATTAAATTTTGATTGGCAATCCACCATAACAGAGCTTACACGAGAAAAACGAAGCTAAGAACGTGATCTCCTGATGAAGTAGCCATTTACGTACACAGTTAATATTATAACTGGTGCAGTAATTTCATGAAATCCTACGAAATGACACACTACACATGCGCATATGGTAACCAAAAAGCTCAGAAACAGAAAAAAAAAACTTTGACGCCACGCTTCGACGATCTAAAAAGCGTTTTTAAGTCAACAGCCCCTCCACTCTCCTCCCCCAGCTTTCCCTGCACGTGCTTCTGATTGTTTCAAAATTTTATTTGAATAAAGTTACTTTAAGACGTGCACATGCGCAAAACTACGAACCCTACCTTGTTTTCCCCAAACGTCCTCTTTCTCACCTGTTTGAAGATACAGTAGAATAGTAAGCCACTTGATTCTCATCCGTTTTATAGTAATTATCGAGGATAAAGCGGCGTTGTTGAGAAAATGCTCGTATGGTGCTGGCGCCGTTCACTGTTTCCAGGAAGTGACTGTAGATTGGTGATCGACTGACGGACTCGATCCTTTTCAACTGCCGCGATGTTGCCACATAAACTCTCTGTAGAAATATATTAAAATCCGTTCAATGCACTCAACATAACGACCAAGGAAAGAAAAAGTTGGCTAATTCTCGGTTAAAGGAAACACTGAACACCACAGTTAATGCATGTTGGATAAACTTAGAACGAGATTTTTTTGTTAGCTGTTAGAAATCTGTTGCAATCCTTTCCATCCTCGGCCAACTTCGTTCTTCGACCGAGCCAGCACGCAAGCACACTTGAATTTGATTGAACGCATTTATTAGCTATGTTATAATAAAAACTTGCTGCAGTTGAATTCAATTTAAGACTACTTAAAATAAGAATTCACATTCTTCCATCTATACAACAAGAAAACTCGCCACGACAAAAAACGGGCTCCAGGCTTTCTTTTCGCCTTGACTCGTTTACCTGTATATAGAAATAAAAAATTGCACAAACAGGCAACGTGGCTAAAAACAGCGGAGTGGCGTAACTTATCGCCGCGACCATCCCAATGATTTCGAGCGAGCACCAGAAAAAATCCGTCACACAGCGCGGTATAGTGTCATCAATAGTGTACAAGTCTTTCGAGAACCTGTTGACAATTCTCCCCAGTGGGGTGGTGTCAAAGAAGCTCATTGGTGAATGCATGATGTTGAACAGAAGGCTGCGGTGCAATCTTCGAGAGGCTCTCATGGCTCCAATCGTGAAAAAAACGGAAACAAGGAAAGTGAAGAATCCTTGACCCAAACCGAGACCACCGTAAATTCCTAAGTACAAGTTTCTTTGTTCATCTGTAGTGACATTTGCCGAGCTCCAATAAGCCAGCCATATTCCTGTCCCTACTGTGCAAGCTTCCATCAGGACAAAGGATAATAAGGTGAGGAAAGAAGCGCAGCAGCCCACGGACTTGAGATAAGAGAAGAATACTGCGAATTTGACCTAAAACAATCCGAGAAATCACATTACTGATACAAATAACCCCTTCACTCGCACATAGCGTTGGTAACTATCCTTACCGTCTACCTCACAATAGTCCCTTTTACAGTTGTGGGCTTGGTGGCCAAGCCTTTGAACAGGAGTGAGGCTAAGGGTGACCCTGTTGTGATAGAGACCTGTAACTAGTTAGCCTGACAACAAAGTAATTTGCATTTGAAAAACAGCAACATCTCGATCATAACAAGGTCACCCTAAGCCTCACTCCTGTTCAAAGGCTTGGCCACCAAGCCCACAACTGCAAAAAAGGACTATTCTAAGGTAATTGGTTACATAAGCTAAGTTGAGATAGTAAATTGGCCACCGTAACGAATAAAAAAGCTGAAAACGTCAGCTTTTTTATTCGTTTCTTTGGAAACTTTCAGCCTTTACAATTCTAAGGACGTTAGTTTCAATTTGCTATTGGAGCCACTGGCATTTAATCCCCCTAATTGATATTTTTCTTTATTCTCATCACTTGTCTGCTTGATTTTGTATTCATACTGTAAGGAAAAATTCTGCTGGTAAAATACTGAAACCTTCACGGACCTCTCAAAAATTCTTCACCCGTTAATGGTTGCTACGCAAATTGTTCATCTATACTTACTCTACCAGTCTCTGAGCGCTCTTCCTCGATCATTTTCCCCAGTTTATCCTCATCTTCGTTTTCAACCTTTTGACTAACATCCTTTACGTCAGAAGTGCTTGCTTTGGAGCTAGCTTCCACTACAGATCTCTCTTCCTCATTTTCTATAACACACAAACAATAACACATACGAAAGAAAAACTAAAAAAAGGGAATTGTGAAAGTCAAGGCGAAAAATTGGATTTTCAGACGTTGGTCATCAAATCACGTGTTTCTCCCTTAGAATT